ATGAATTATTGTGCAGTGTAATCCTACGGCTTACGAATTGACGGAAACGACGGATGAGTAAGTACCACGTCTCTCGCCTGTGCCGTTTTTGCTTGCTGATATATTTCTTTTCTCTCAAGGTACTGGGACAAACTCACCAACACCAACCTCCGAGGAACTTACAACATGACCAGGGCTTGCATACCTCATATGACTTCTGGGTCCTCTTTCGTCAATGTTTCCAGTATCATGGGAACGGGCGTTGCGCCGAGATTTGCGATTTATTGTGCGACGAAATGGGGGATTGTGGGCTTTACTAAGGCTATGGTGAGTGCCGAGCGAAGCGAGTCTCAAAAACGTCGCTATTCGGAATTATGAATTCGCTTGGCTCATTGCTGCTCTCTTCGGCCGCTGATCGCTCGCAGGCCCTTGAACTCGGACCTAAAAACATCCGAATCAATGCCGTAGCTCCAGGATATATTGACACTCCTACCAATGCTGCGGTTGTGGCTGGAGCCGAAGCTGTCAAAGAAGAAGAGAATCGCGTCGCACTGGGGAGGTTGGGAACTCCGGAGGAGATTGCTGATGTTGTGGCTTTTCTGTTCAGGTGAGTGAAAAGCAAAGAGAAAGGAAGAGGTGATGACTGATTGATGAGTAGTAATGAGGCGAGATATGTTACGGGAAGTGTGATTGAGATTCATGGTGGACGGATGGCTTGAGCGGGTGGTGGAAGCGACGGCAGGCTGCGCGAGGACTTTCGGTGATCGATGTGGGCGAAAGAGAGAGCGTAAGTTGTCAGAATGTGGCAGAGCAAAAAAGTTGGTTATACATTACCATACCTAACCGCCGCTGTCTAGCGCGCCGCGCATCGAGAAGTGAGTATGCTGCAATGCAGCAGTGAACATCCGTACGGAATGAAACCGCCTTTCTCACTGAAATGAATGATGCGCCTTGACCATTTGATCAAGCACCATATCCATACAGGTAGCTTGAGTCCTTATGTCTCGGGGAGCGTCATTTGAAGTGATGTCTGTTGAACACATGTATCCCCATCGCCTTTCAGGCGAGCTAGTGAGAACTGAAGCCTATCTCGCACTTGCACTACCAGGAGACCTCCGCCTCTGGTAGATGTCTTGAAGAGCCGAAGGCCGACATGGGCAGCTTGGAAGGCTGATCGCAGTGGAGGGCGTGCTGAAGGGATGCTTGCGGGCTGCGCTTATCTCACTTTCCATTCCAGTGAGCGGGTGGAAGTTGAAGTCGACTTCAGCTCCCTGACGTGAGAATTGAGGCTCGTGGGGCTTGGCAAGATCCGAGTGAAGTCGAGTGACTGTGCACGCACAAACAACGATTTCGTTTGCGGTGAGATTCTTGCTCGCAGCATCAACATCGCAACAATGGCGGTCTCTGGCAGACCAGCACTGCCAACCATGCGTGTCCGCATCGCAAGGCGCGAGGCCTACGGGCGCCACTCACTTCCGACGATCCCAGAGGCATCGTCACCTGCGCCTTCGGGCAGTCCCTCAAAGGTAAGCATGCAGTCTGACCCGCTGAGGTCAAATCCGGCTTTCCCCAATACAACCCCCCACGCAGAGTCAACATTGACCCCCGCCCAACTGACTGTGCCTGAGCCGTACAACGGCGAGAGTGACGAGGAGGAGATGGACCAGCGCAGCACGTCTAGCTTCAACAGCTACGCCACCAGCAGTGTCAGCGCCGGCTCGTCTTTCGGCGACTACGGCCTGCATCGCGCTCTGAACAGCGTTGTGGTGCCAAACGAAGACAATCCCATTGCGACAGTCAAGGACCGTAAGAACGCCAACTACCTTGAGCGCCTCGGTCACCAAGACGCGCATCTTCGCGCCGAGATAAAGGAAGCCTTCGCCACCTACGAGAAAGCCGCAGAAGACCGTGACGACAACAGCGACCCGAAGAAAGAGGCCTTCCGCAACCGCGAGTATTTCGAAGCCAGTGTCAGGCTTGCGCGCGCCTCTCAGGAGTACACCTTCTTCCAAGCAGACCTCAATGAGCTTCGCGACCTGCCAAAACTGAGCCGTGACGAAATGAAGCGTTTCTTCACCAATATCAAGGCCCAAGAGAGACTCGATCGCGCTGAGGAGAACAACACGACGATGCGCGAGAAGCTTCGCCAGACTCGTCGCGACATTGAGCACCTCAGAGTCGAGCGTGACGAGCTCAGTCGCAACACCGGCGCGCTTCAGGTACCTGACCATCCTCACTCTTGTGACTCGTACTGACATTGTCGGCAGGAACTCTCAGAGCATGTTGCATACCAGGCGCATCTTCTCACGCACAAGACTAGCCAGATCGACAGACTCTCCGAGCATACGCAGTATGTTGAGCATCTCAATGATACGCTGAGGCGCGACTACATGGCAGTATGCGACACTCTTGTCAGACACAATGAGCATGTCAACCAGCTCAATGAGAACCTGCAGCGTCGCATGACTTTCTGCGCCAACGAGAATGAGGCGCTGAAGCACACCCTCGACCAGCAGAACAAGAATTGCCAGACCTTGATGCAGTATGGCAATGAAGTTAAGGGCAAGAATAACGATGTCGCCGATCTCCAATACGGCACCACCGGTTTGCATACCACCATCGATGACCTGCAGCATGACAACGTCGAGCTTCAACGCGATATCACGGGCCTGCAGCTGAACATGGGAAGCCTCCAGAGTCTCCAGCAAGAGAACGAGGACCTCAAGAACGAGAACGTCGAGCTCCAGCGAGACCTCGATTACCACAAGGGCTACGTCAAGACCCTCGAAACCAAGCTGTACAAGTCCGAGCTTCATATTCAGGACATCAACAAGGCGCTTGGTACGGCCAAAATCATGGCGTCGCAGCGCAAAGACGAAGCCGAGAAGCTGCGCATTACCGCCAAAGATCTCAACGAAGCTCTCGAGAACGCGCTTGGTCAGATGGAGCAGTTGCAGCTCGTCAATAACCAGCACATGCGCAACCAGGAGCACCAGCAGGGCGTCATGGCCAGGATGCGCGCGTCGAACAACTACCTCCGCAGCGAGTTCAAGGATCTCCTGCGCTCTCAACCCATAGCTCGCCGCAATGCTACCAGCGGCGCAACCAGTGGCGCCAGTGCTGGTCGGAACGGCGAGATGGCCTCACCAGGTGAGCACGGCGGTTTCCACGTCAGAAAAGCCCACAAGGCTTCGCACTCCGTTTGATTGAAAATTCCGAGCTACCAGCGCATAAACTACAGGATTGAGGTAGATTGGAAAGCGTGGAGTTGGAAAGTAATGTACTCTAGTCCGAATTTTGGAGATGGAATCGCTGGTGGGCTCCCATAGCAAAGGCCGGCATCCTCAAATGGCAAATTGTACAACACTCATCCAGGTCATTTTCATCCTCGCCGTCATCCCATGCTGCGTCCTCGTCGCTGTCGAACATGACGTTTTCGGCCTCTTCGATGCTTTTCTTTGCTATACTGCTTTTGTCTGGGATATGCTCTGATTTCACGTCCACTGACGAAGGCGGCGTGTCAGCGTCCGTCACACGAAAGTCCCTAAGCACATCTTCCTGCTTTCTGAACATGCAGCCAATGTCCCGCCCATTCGCGGTTTTGCTGTCGCCTGCAGTTTCTGCCATGTTGGTCACAGCCAGGTTTATCAGGCTCAGATTCCAACCTGCCTTTTCTGGATGCAATTTCCTGAACAGACCGACCAGGGCTTCCTTCACCAATTTCTCGGCCAAAGCGTCCACACTTTCTGTCAGGCGGAAGACAAAGTTTGGCAGGGGCCCGGAATGCGAGATGCGCTTGAACGAGCGTTGCCTGGTGCCATCAGGTTGTAGGGGTTGTCGTGGTCTTGTTGTTATACGCAGCACCTTTGGTCGTGCCAGCCATTTCTTTCCCTCTACGGACACAGAGTTGCTGACACTTGTGATGTCTTGATCAGCAGGCTGATCGTCCTGCGACTCGAAATCGTCGTCTTCGCCAAGCAAATCTATGCGCATACGAGTGAGGAGTGATTGCGCAAGATGCATCAATTCCTTCAACAACTCTGGCATCGTGTCCAAACGGATGTAACTGTCCTCAATACTGATCTGCCTTGGCACGGCTCTTGCTGCGCTGACCTCACTGTCATCTATCCCGTGCAAGAGGCACCACATCTTGTAGCCTATACCATGAGCTGAGCCTGGACCGGATAAGAGCTTTTCCAACATCTGCGCATCGACATCAGGATGATTGCGAACATCAGCGACAGTGACCTTCTCCTTCGTGCAGCCGTACACAAGGCCATCGTCAAACTCTGGAGGCCGCTGCAATATGAACTCTCGGAGCTTCTGCGCAAACTTGAACCCAATGCCTGGCACCTTTCCAATCTCATGGTCATCCATGAAGGTAATTGCGTTGCTGACATGACCATCTACTGCAGCGAGTGGTGGCATAACAGTAGTCTGACCTTTCGGCTTGTTGAGGTTGCCTACTAGCTTCGACAACAGTTTGTTTGTCGATATTCCTACGGTGCATGTGTAGCCTTTCTGCTGCTCCAGTTGGTGCCGTATGTACAGAGCCAGATGACTGCCGAGTCGCAAGCGCAAAGTCAGCTCGTTGACATTAGTGGAGTGTGGATCAGACACGTAGTCTTTCGGGAATGCGTGCCCAGCTATAACAGTTGCATCGAGGCCAAAGCCTACGGTCGGATCGTCCTGGACCAGCTGAAAGAAGGAATTCTCAAGATCATTTCTGTTCAGTAGGGCAACATTGTAATCCACTATGTCCGTGACGTCCATCCAGACCTCATCAAAGCCGAGGCGCTCGATCTTGTTGTTCCATGAGAAGCCTTTAATGAAGCCGTACAGCTCTTTGCTTGCATCTCTGAATTGCGAAATATCCTCTCCCAGCTCGATAATCACGTCTGGACAAATCCTCCTCGCATCTTTTATCAGCTGCAGCTTGTGCAACCCTCTCCTCCGTGCTTCATAATTGCAAGTGACTATAATCTGCTTCTGCTGCACGGCGAATGGCAAGCTCTTGAGTGCCGGATTCTTCGCTTCGAAGACTGAAGCATAGAAACAATCATAGTCGAAGTGTATTACTATCCTCCCGTCCCTTCTTGCCGGCAGATATTTGTTCGCCATATTCGCCGCATCGTGTATCCCGTGATGGTGGGTAGTCAAGAAGGAGAATTCAGCGTTTGAAGCCTTGCGTTTGTCAACACATGAGAAGAGAGAAGCAGCAAACAGCCGCGGAGACCCACGACGATGAGATAGAGCTTGCAAATCACGTGCCGCTCCGAAACTCTGCCCTGAATCTCCTGAGCAATAAGGGCCCGTTACGTTGCCCGATTTTCGTCGCGTTTATGGTGCCTAATAATAGTCCAACTCTAAAGCTAACTAAGTATTCTATCTACTATTTATCGTCGCTTATAGGTACGATAATTGCTACGATAATCGCGTCTATTAAGTCGACTAGTTTTCGTAGACCTAGTATAGGCTAGTAGCTTACTAAGAGGCCTAATTTAGCGTAGAATAGTTATTAGACCTCGCGTCTTCTTAGTGCGCAGAATCGCCGTAGATTAAAGCTATTATATATTACTATTTAGCTATATATCTATCTAGTCTATTATTTACTACTAAATTACTAGTAAGGAGCTATTAACTAATACTTAGCAGTAGGAGGAAATAGCCGCTCTCGAGTAGTAGAGTACTACTAATAGTACGCCTAAAGTTACGCCTTATAATCTTTATTCGTCGCTTCCGCGCCTATAGCCTACTATACTACTAATTGCGACTCTATAGCGCGATATAGGGCTAAATAGCCTTAGTTTTTAAAAACAAGGATAGATTCTATCTTCGAGGTATTAAGAGTTCGGATTTTCGTAGTTTATACTATATATAGCTATATAAGCGAGGAACGCTAATAGCTAGAAAATTGGGATGAAAATTAGGTACGAAAACTACGGCCGAGTTAACATACCCGATTATCGTACACTTCCAGAAAACTGACCTACGAAAACAGGGCAACGTAACGGGCCCTAAACATTGTTGACCTTCGATCACACTGTCATACGCGCTGCACCTCTCGATCGGACAAAGCTATAGCATCGCTGTAACCTATAGGCACCTCATCTCGTCTACTAAATTCCCATCTCTGAGCATTCCGCTCCACGAGTCGCACTTCTGCTTACGGCGCCTCCCAGGCCTCAGGATGGCTTCGCGTCTAACCACCATTTCGTCAATCTGCTGCAGATCTGAATCGGCAGCACGGTGAATGCAGATATCTCGAATCCGGCTGCCATCTGCGACAGACAGAGCGCTTGGTCTCTGGTCAATAATGCAGCTGCCGAGTGCCGACTTTGCGCCCTGGCTCGCAGGCTTGAGTCCTGGATGAATCGTGCAATGCTGCATCACGAAATGACAGGTGGAAAAAAAATCAACAGCCCTGAGACGTCACTATAGCTGAAAACTCCAAATGTTCCCGAATCGGTCTGACGTCCGCCGCCGCCGGAGTCGTTCCCACAAGCAAGTCAAGGACTGCTTGCATGCGGCCACGAAAGTGGAATGCAGATTCGTTCATCCGCACGCATCGGAATCATTTTCGGTGCATTCCCGCATCGACATGCTGCAACCAGTCCTTCGCCCACTCCAGCCGAAACATCGAAATATCACCGTCCAAGAACGTCTCCAGCGTGATGGATCTTAGGTTTCGCCGGTCGTCGGCCGAATAAGGCCTTCTGTCCATTCGTATCGACATCCCGGTCACCAGGCTCTGCAGTCCCAAGACTACCTTCATCTAAGACATAGTCAGCAGCTTTCTCCTTCTTGCCACTGTGTGGCGCTAGCAACGTGTGCAAGCAAGCACCTCGTGTGCAGCTTGACACGTGCGACGTCATCTGCAAAGCTCCATGAGATCTTGCCGCTGGCGTATTGCAAGGGTTTGCTCTTGGCGATTCCATACAGGACGCGTGGAAGCCATTCTGAGCATCTCAGCTGGAAGGAGCACAAGAGACGTTGCTGCCGCTCACATGTCTGATGGCTTCCGTGGCGTGTTCAACTGCCGTCCCACCTGCGCCTACTAATGTCGAGGAAGGTCATGTTGGAAGCCCTTCCACGAGCCTTCGCATATCGTTCGGTGGACCCAAAGCTGCATATCATCGCCCCGACCATCTACCGGCCGTGACGTCGTCGCGGATGTTTGCTCAGAATACAACAAAGATTTGCTGACGGCTGCGTATGTTGTATTCGACAAATGCGTATGCTTCAAGAAGGCTTTTGGTCGTATTATCAGCGCGCGGACATTCTTTACCGTCCGGCAGTCCGCCACGCATGACCGAAGGACTATTTAGCATGCAGCGGAGCCGGTGATGATGAGAAGTGGCACAGACTGACGCGCAAACACAGCATAGAGGTTGACGAGGACACGAAGGCTTTTGTGTGCTGCAAAGTGGTGTGCGCGTACACTAGTACTAGTACTGTCCTTGGGTCTCGCCCACTTCGGTAGCACTTTCCACGGTCGCCTGTGTCTGCGCGCAGATCGGCTATTCTATTTGCAGGGACACGTCTATTTTGGTTTGGCTCGGCGCTTACCAGGATCTTCAACAAGCGCCCGCATGACTAGGGATAGAGATGGAGAACCACGAGCCACAAACTCCATTAAGCTCGTGGACCAAAGTGTTCACATTATTATTGGTATGCTCGACCTTCCACTATGGACCATTTCTCATAAGACTCGCGGCGGATATTAGTAGGCATTAATAAGAGAGCCTCGAGAGCAAATCCTCGAGAGCCTCTTCACCCAACTATCGTAAGGCCCGCGCCAACCGACGTCACCAAATGGTCCAAGGTGTACCGCAGTGTAACTTTGCAAATCCGTATGGACCAACATTGCGACGCATGACGCCTTTCCTGATGAACAGAGGCTATTTCCGTTCGACATAGGGCCTCGCCGCGCTTCGGATAGCTCGCAGATCGTATTAAGAAGTCAGGTGGGCCGGGCGCGCGACTATAACAGCTTCTACCATCTGTAATCTCGACTCTTGCAACGACAGCTCCGCAGGCAGAGCTTGTCCTTTCCCAATTTATGCTCGCGTCATCGAGCATTGATTATTGCTGAGATCTGACTTTCGAGATCCAAATCAGGCATCCACCGCTTCTTTAAATAATACATGTACGAGAGCCAAGCTGCATACGTGGACCACTGCAGCACGAGGCATTCAGACTCACCGCAGCCGCAGCCGCACTCGTCGTCCGTCGTCCGTCGTCCGTCGTACCCTACCACCTGCCCTGCCACCTGCCTACCCCATTGCATATCTTCTGAGACTTCGTGCGACGTGGGACCTCGGAGGCATGCCCACCTCTTCCAGCTCACGAGTCCAAGTCTAATACCACCATGTCACTTGCCATACTTCCTTCGGCGCCCATGACTTCTTATAGTCAGAGCTCGACACCGACACGGCTCGCGCCTCCGTCGTCACAAGCGGAGCGTCCGAGGTTGTCGCTGGACACGAACAATGTAACCACGACGTTTGGGAAAAGCTCCACTAGCTTGCGTTTGGACTCTGCTGCGTCTCCCACTGCGAAGAATACCTTCCGGAATGCATTTCACCCGGCGCGACAATCACCAGCGAGCAGATTATCGAAGCCTACAGTAGAGCAAACCTCTACGCACATTCCTCGCACACAGAGCCCCGAAGCTCTGGCAACGGAAGCACACGAAGCAACGCCGCCAATCTATTCTGCGTCATCTTCTGCTTCGATATCGTCGACGTCGACTATTGATTCTCTCCCTCCCGACATACCCTACAAGCTCTCTTACAGCGTCACTTCTATTCTGGTGAACTCCCCAATCCCTCGGCCCAAGGCTCGCAGAACGATGTTCGCGCAATCCAAACCGATGTTTCCCGCTGTGAAAAGGGTGTCATTCAAGACGCCTCTCACTGAAGAAGTCAAGAATGTCAATTTCACCATGCGCCATTCTGACATTGAATCTTCCACATCGACCATATCAACCCTAGAACTATCTCCCCCGGAAGACTCGTCAATGGAACAATGCGACGACAATACCATACCCCAGAAATGTACAGGCCAAGAGGTTTCGTCGCCTCAGACCGGAGACAAGCGTGAATCTTCAGAAGAGGAAGACAGCGACTCGACGCCGCAGACGCCTGGCCCATCTGGTCGTCGAAAGAGACATCGAAGATGGGTTTGGACGCTAGATCCGATCGAAGCCAAAGCGCCTGCTACAGGGTCCAGCGAAGATAGCAAGGTAGACGAGCGTGAACAGAGGAAGGCATGATAACCGTGTGCGAAATCTCGGGTTGTACAGGCATCTACAGGTTTAATAGACGATCCACGCAGCAATGCGTCATTAGCAGGCCTCGGTCATCGGTAGCATATGATGGCCTTTTGTTTTTGCGCGATGATACCCAACGAGCGATGGCATACAATACGAGGACGTAGCATGCATGGCATGGCATGGCATGGGCTTTGGAAAGAACGCCATTACTTGGTTCGACTTCATATACATAGCACTCTCAATATTCATGGACATGACGACATTCCACATCTCCAGGCCTTGTATGAATCAATAGATAGTACCTCGTATATGCCAGAATCAGAATGCTGCAAGCCAGGTTCTGCGTTGATTTTAGGGTTGATGCTAATAGATGATAGTCATTTAAGCTAAGCCTAATCCGGATATTTTATGCACCTGCAGGAAGTCCTGTGACAGCAGCCACTGTAAGTGAATGTATAGGGGCGATATTTTGGGGACCCTGAGGGTTAGGCGCCATCTCGGCGTTCTGCCCCTATACTTCACCGAATTAATATACACTATACAGCGATGCAAATGTATTGATTCTTACACTAAAAAAATCGCAGTATCGAGTTCTATAATTCTAAAATTAGCCGCAATATATTATAATAGAATGTAGTAATGAAATATCGTGTTGTTTAGTAGTGACTAATTAGCTTTATACTACTAAGCCTACCTCGGCAAAGCCTGTCTAACCTCCGAAGCTCCGCCGAGAGGATAGAATTAGGAAAGCTAATAGCCCTCTATACGTATAACACACTAACTATACTATATATAGATATACCAAATAGCGCAAATAAAAGGTCTTAATACATATAATAAGCGTGTAAAGTATAAAGATAAAGTATAATAAAATAGTAGTAGTATAATGCCCTAAATATATACTAAAAAGCCCGCTTCCTAAATCCGTATTCTAACTAAACCCTAACTCGCGAGTATACTTAATCGACCGAGATACGTCGATTAGACACGCTTTTAACTATTAATAGGTGTTTCTCGGCTTCTAATTAGCTAGTTAGATTATAGCTACAATCGATATACGCTCGTTAGATAGTAGGTTCTCGTTTAGCTATTTATATAGACCGATAGTAACGAGTGCTTCTTCGAGCGCTTTAATAGCCTCTTCTAGTGTCTCTTCCTTACGCAGATAGTATAGTATACGCTTATTAATATAGATATACTATAGCTTGTTTACTTTAGCGGGTACTAGTCGGTTACGGGTGTCCGTATAAATAAGATTTAGTACCGAGAATAAGCGCTCGGAAGGCACTAAAGACGCTACTATACGAGCGAGGCGGATAGCTATTAGTACGAGTATTGTAGCCTTACTCTAAATAAATTGCTAGAAGGTTACTAGATCGTTTATATACATCTAGCACTTAGTATCCTTATAGAAGGGCCCTTCGCGGTTATAGAAGGTATTAAACTCGCTTATAGCTCGCTAGAGCCTGCCCTCTTGTACCCTACGTTAAATAAACTTATATAGGGTAATACGCTATTATAACTCGGTCTAGTATAGAATAGGGTGTTAGGGCCAAAGAGGCTATACGTAATTAGTATATAGTTAGGCCGAGTAAAGCCGGGGTCTCGGTGCCTTAGGCAGGGCTTAGCGCTTAGCGTTAGGCTAACTTGCCTGCCTTCCTCTCTCTCCTTCTAGATCCTTATCGAATACTACTCGTACCTACTACTACCCTATCTACCTGCTAATATACCCTTCTTATACAGTATTCGATCTACCCTTTAAGGGTAGTAGCTAGATAGTCCTTATTTTAAGCTTTTAGTGGTATAGCTACGAAAACTATCGATTTAACTATATTGCGCCCGAAGAACGGGACCTATACGTACTATTCTACTAAAACAACCGTACTAATTATTAAGCAAGGCCTTCTATACGGCCTATTATACTAAGTTAAGCATACTAGACCGATATCTACTAATTCCGCCACTTCCGTATCTTAGGGGCTAATAATATATTATTAGTATTACCCCCTATTATAATAGCCGGCTTATTACAAAGCAATAACAACCGTGCTACCGCTAGCAGCGCTAGCAATAACAACGCTAGTAGCACAGTACCTACTAAAGTGCCTGCTAAAGCACCTGCTAAGGTGCCTGCTAAAGAGCCTACTACTAGGCCTACCGAAGAACCTATAGTTCTAGATAACGACCTAGAATTGCCTATCGACGACATTCTTAATAACATTGTTAATCGTCGATATAGCTAACTAGCCTTTGGTCCTTAACTAGTAGAGAGACTTCAAGAAGCTACCTAAAACAGGCTTACTACTCTACGTTAAGAACAATAGCTAAAGGATAATCTCCTCGAGATCCGCCGCCTATAGGAAGCCCTAATAACTAATACTAAGCTAATAGCAGGGCCTTCCTTACTATTAGTCCTAGTCTAGAAGAAGGATGCTAAACTTAAGGACTATACCGTATTTAATAGCTCTAGCCGCAAGCAGTACAATAATCACATACGTAATTATAAATTGAACTAGCGGAATGCACTAAGGGCCCTACTAGACGACTATTCGCTAGTCGTCTATGCTATGCAATATATTAATAGAGACCTAAAGCGCACCTAGGATAACTACTTTAACTCCCTTACTAATTAGACCGCTGTTTAGTAGCAAACCTATAAAACCATTATACTAGATACCCTTAGAAACCCTATACTAAGGCAATAACACGCTTAGGACTAGTACCTTCGGGCTAAGCAAAAGACTAATTAATTAGCCCGTTTATTTAAGGCCTATTTAAAGACCCTCGAAGACGATTTACTAGCTAAGACCGACTCTATCTAGATTTCCGAAATACGCCCTAAATTGCGATAGGAATTAGTCCTTAAATTGGACCGCCGTCGCGTATTCGAATAGGCCAACCTAATACGTATTTAATTTATAGTCGAAGTAGAAACAGCCGAGCGGGCTGTTTAGCTCTAGTAACGACTAGAATCGAGGATCCGACTAGCTAGCACTAACTGCGGCAATCGTAGTAGCCGTAGAGGAAACTAAGGTTCCTACTATAATAATAATACTAACAATAGGAACAGTAACAATAACCGTAGAAGAGGCCGTAGCCGCCGGCTATATAGAGGAGGCCGTAACAGGGGCCGTAGAAGGGGCTCGTATCCTTATAACGCTAACCGCTCGACTAATAGCAGCTATAGTAACCTCCTAACTAGATTGAAGTGCTTCAATTGCGATAGCACTAGCTATCTGCTAGGCTAATGCGACAAACCTAGGGATTAGGCCCGAGTCGACCGTGCTACCGCTAAGTACCGAAAGTATCTCTTAGCAGCTAACGCTACCCCTATAGGCTAACCTTCTAATTAGTCGAAAAAAGAATAAGCGCCGCACTAACTATTAGCCTTATACGGCGTAAGACTATCGACATTGTACTAGCTATTATACGTACCTGTCTCGTATCGGACACGTATAGGACTAACTATAAGACTAAGGTTATACTAGATCTAGGAAATTCAGTTAGTGCCCTTATTAGCTATCGCCTAGCTAAGCAATTAGACCTTCGACAACTGCCTAGGACTAACCTGCTAACCCTTGCTTAGTTTAATAACGCTCGGCACTTAACCTACGGAGCCTACTATATCTATATAGCTCTAAAGGACGACCTCGGAAATGAACGCCTACTAAACTTTACTGCCTACGCAGTAGACATAGACAGCCTCCTATCCGACATTGTTATTAGCAACCCTATTCTTAAGTACTATACTATAGTTATAGACTTAGGCAGTTAACAATAGCGATTTAGAATCGCTAGGAAAGAGGATATTAAACATATCGACATTAGCGAGTGTCCTAATAATATTAGGGTCCTATTTATTAGCAACCTAACTCCCGCCTTAGCTAATCTAACTACCGACCTGCTTAGTAGTAATAACGATGAACTAGTGCCCCCTAATAGCATAGATCCTAAATAGCTTAAGCGCATACTAGAACCTATTCGAGAGACCTATATTAATGTGTTTAAACACTACTTAGTATCGACATTGCCTATGTTTAAAGAGACGGATTATAAGATTAATATTATAGAGGGCAAAGAGGTCCCTTTTAGACCCCTCTACAACCTTAGTAAACGAGAGCTTGCTATGTTGCGTAAGTACCTAGAGGAAAACCTAGCTAATAGCCGGATACGGTATAGTAACAGCCCTGCTAGTGCCCCTATCCTATTCGTACTAAAGAAGGATAGTAGCCTGCGCCTCTATATCGATTATCGTAGGCTCAATGCTATTACTATTAAAGATCGCTGTCTACTTCCTCTTATTAATAAGACCCTCGATCGCCTTTCTAGTGCCTACTACTATACTATATTAGACATTAAGGACGCCTATTACCGCATCCGTATTCGTAAGGGCGATAAATAGAAGACAGCCTTTCGCACTCGCTATAGCTATTTCGAGTACTTAGTTATACTATTTAGGCTAGCTAATACCCCTACTACATTCTAGTCCTATATTAATCGGGCCCTATTAGGCCTATTAGATCACCTCTATATAGTTTACCTAGATAATATCCTAGTTTACACACACTTACCTAACATTACAGAACACTAGGCTATAGTACGAAAGGTCCTCGATCGCCTACGGGCCTATAGCCTATATTATAAGCCTTCTAAATGCACCTTTGCTACTAAAGAGGTGTCCTTCCTTAGCTTCCTTATATTAACCGAGGGTATTAAGGCCGATCCTAATCGAATTAAGACTATTACTAAATAGCTAACACCTACTAGAATTAAAGAGCTTCAATTATTCCTAGGTTTTACTAACTTCTACCGTCGATTTATCGAAGGTTACTCGCGGTACGTAATGCTACTAACGGAACTTACTAAAACCAAGGCTAATCTATCTAGAGAGTTCAAATAGACTAACAGAGCATAAGCCGCTTTTAACGGTCTAAAGCAGCGCTTTACTAAAGTCCCCTTATTACACTATTTCGTGCTAAATAAGCAGATCCGAATTAAGACTAACGCTTTATAGTTCGCTGTATCGGCTATTATGTCCTAGCAATTAGATAATAACTATTACTAGCACCCGATTGCCTTCTTCTCGAGGAAGATAATCGATGCTAAGCGTCGCTACGAGACCTACGAGTAAGAGCTCTTAGCTATTATCGAGGCCTTTAAGTATTAGAGGCATTACCTCGATAGGGCCTAATATACGATACAGGTCTACATAGACTATAACAACCTCCGTAGCATTACTAAGGTTACTAGAG